GAAGAAGCACACCAACCTGTGCGATCACAAAATGTCGAAGGGATCAGGTATCAGGTATCATCAGAACCAAAAATCTTACCATAGACAATGAAGAGGGGGAAGTGTGGCATAGAGACCCAAAGCCCATTAGTAAGCCACTGGAGATCCCCTTTAAGAAGGGTCTCAGGGAGGAGACGAGTCCTTCAGGGTGCGATGTAGCAAGATGAAAAATACAACTTTCCTCTAGTTCCTAAAGGCTTCCTCCCCTCCCACCCTCCACCCCCCACTATCATGATCTCAATTCTACCTTGCAAGTCTGGCTAGACCAGAGGATGTACACTGATACAGTTAGGAATTGGAAACACAGGGAATCCAGGGTGGATGATCCCTTCAGGACCAGTGGTGTGAGTGGAGATACCGGGAGGGTAGAGGGAGGGTGGGGTGGAAAGGGGGAACTGATTACAAGGATGTACTTATAACCTCCTCTCTGGGGGACAGACAACAGAAAAGTGGGTGAAGGAAGACGTCAGACTGGACAAGATGTGACAAAATAATCATTTATAAATTATCAAGGGTTCATGAGGGAGGGAGGAGCGGGGAGGGAGGGGAAAAAATGAGGACCTGATGCCAGCGGCTTAAGTGGAGAGCAAATGTTTTGAGAATGATGAGGGCAATGAATGTACAAATGTGCTTTACACAATTGATGTATGTATGTATTGTGATAAGAGTTGTATGAGCCCCTAATAAAACGATTAAAAGAAGAAGAAGACGTAAGCACTTCTGGGAGATTGACTCTAATTTAAATGGAATGGGGGACACACCAGGGGACACACCGCTCCCCGGAAGAAGTAACATTTCTCCTGGAAGCTAAAGAACCAGGAGGCAGGTGCCCGACAAAAAGGGGGAGGCAAGAATATTCCAGAAAAAATATAGGGCACGACTACTGGTCTCTCTCCATGTGGAACAAAGAAGAGGGCAGAAAACCAAAGGAGCCTGGAAATAACTGGTCCACAGGATCGTGGGAACCACAGTGTCCCGACCCAGAACAGGTGAACTAGGTGGTGCCCAGCCACCACTGGTAACCGGGTGGGAAGGGATTACAATAGGTCCAGGTTCGAGCAGGCAGGACAACGTGGAACAAAACTCAAAATCACAAAGAGCAAGTGTCCCAGACGATGGCCCTGGGGCAGCCTCCAGGCTTGGAACTGAAGTACGCCTTGGGGCTCAGCTTTCAGCAGAAGCACAGAGAGGTACAAGTCATTAGAACAATCAGCCGTAGGTGACCCAAAAGGCAGCATTTGCCCAGAGACAAGGCTCCAAGGCAGGAAAGGTTAGGGTAGAAGGACCAGTGGGAAAGGAAACCGGGAAGGAAGCGGGAGAGGGTTGTTACAGGTACGGAAGGCCACCTGTCATGAAACAAGATGAGCATGAATGGTGGTGTGGAAGACAATGGCTCTGTAAACTTCCACCCAAATCACAATAAGCTTACTGAGAAAAAGAAACCAGCAGAGCCTGTTGCTCTCTCTGGCACAGAGGGGGGTCGCTCGCCTGCCCAACAGGAGTCAGGGCCAACTCTGTGGTCACCGGCTTGGCGTGCACGGAGGGCTGGGAGAGACTCTTGGAAACCCAACCATCACGTTCACTTGGGCTCCACTCTCCCTCAGGTATGGACTGGTATCCACACACTGCTTTAAAAACAACAAAAGCAAAACTTTTTTATTGTGAATCTAGTGAAGGTTTACAGAGCAAATCCTAATTCATTGATTCCTACACCGGGACCCCACGCCACCCACGTCTACCCCCAGCGATGCCACTGGGAAATCTGGGTTTGGGGTTCTCACACTTGACTCTGGGCCCAATAATTACCTTTATAAACCTCCATGTAGTCATCAATAAAGTAGGTATACCAAATAAATAAATAAAGTAGGTACAGTATACCTATAAGGTCCCCTTGTTGGATTGTTTTCAGAATTACATGAGATAGATAAGTGACAGATGGATATATAGATAAATGGCAGATAGGTAGGTAGATGATAGATAGATAGATAGATAGATAGATAGATAGATAGATAGATAGATAGATAGATAGATAGGTGTTTCCCCAAAGTGGGCAACATCCTGGTGGGTGGAGGGTGGGGGAGTGCTGGAATGGTTCTGGGAGGCTGTCCAAGCGGATACCTACACTTTATCTAAGACAACGGGCTACAGCAACACAGTTTTACATCTCTGGGGAGCGGCTGTGGCATCAAGTAATTTTTTTTTTTTCTGAAAAGGAGGCAGTAAGCCAAATCAGCTTATGAACTTATGATGTAGATGTATAGATCATTGCTGTTGTTTTGTTACTATCCACTCTATTTCTCCAAAAACAACC